GCTACGTCGTTGTCCTTGTCGAAGACCTCGCGGGCCTCCTTCTCCTTGTCCGGCTGGTAGACATCGTCGACGGTGATGATGGCCAGGTTGCGGTCGTCGCGGAAGTCGCGCAGGGCGATGCGGGCGCCCTGCTTCACGCCGACCTCATCGATGGTCTGTTTCGAGATGTCGAGTGTGATGGGAATGGAGAAGAGGTTGCCGTCGGCGAGACGGTTGTCGGACACTACGCCGTTGTAGTCCTTCTGGTTCATGAAACCTGCATCATGCTGTCAGGGGCCGTGCTGCTGCAAACATCGCAAACACGAGGGGCGCCTTCGCTGCCCCTCGCCTAGCGCTGCGGGATGACGACTTACCCTCCAGAGGTGAAAAACCTCCATTTAGGATGAGCTCCAAGTCGCAGAGCTGCCTCTCGGACAGAACAATAGCCGGAAGCTTCTCAGCCTCCTCGAACAGCTCCTTGCGTCGGGGCGCATCGCGTGCGATCAGGTCCTTGAGGACGCCGCCTGTGATCACCTCCGTCAGCATTCGTGACCAACTCCAGCGACTCTGTTGATCGACTCACCATGGGGTGCGTTCGCCATGTCTAAAGAATAAGTGAGAAATATGGAATCCGGTGGTGGATTTGGTCGGGTAGTTCGGCGAAGACTTGCTGTCGTTCCTGACTATACAAGACTGGCTTCGCGAAGGAGGTTTTGGGTCACTCAGACAGAAAGATGCGCGACTAAGGACTACAAGGCGGGACGGGTGGAAAGGGCTTTTTATTCCCCGGGTTCTACGGACACTTCAGGCGCCATGTCCCCGATTGTTGACCATAGGCTTCTCTGGATTTTCTCTGCTTGCAGAGACTAGGGCACAAAGCGGGTTGTTGTATGGGTCGGCAGATCTTGGAAGCGATTGCGCAATTGCACGCGATAGTTAGAGCCTGTCTCACCCGGCTTTTCGTTGGGCGACGCGACCACAGTGACGTGAGCGGAGCGGAGAAGGAGCACCTTGTCCTGCAGTTTGTGTTGCGCTTTAGCGATTTTCAGGAACACCTCACGTATATGACAGGTCTAGCGCAATGCTGGAAATTCGTTTGATTCATGCCGGAGCTTCATTGGCTCCTGCGTCGGTGGTATCTCGGCCCCGTATATACATAATCGGATGCGACTGCCGCAAACCCCATTCTTTCGTGACCCAAACCCCATGCTATGCCATGTCCCATAAATAACCCAAACGCCCATGCTAATGCGGTACAACAAGTAGGAATCAAGACATCCTACATCACCCTAAACGTTCAAAGAGACTTGTTGCAGCTTGTTGGCTAGGTCCTCGTTTTGCTGCTTCATCGCCTGCTCCTGGAGGAACTGAGCATATCGCGACTTGGGGTTGTGGATGCCGCACTCGGACTTGTTCTTGCCCTTCCAGCGTCCTGCTCGCTCGTCCTCTCCGGCAGCTACTGGCTGTGTAGAGTGCCAGTCACCGACACTCTTGTAGCCCTGGTTGAGAAGGTCGTTGTATGGGACGTCGTTGGCGTCGACGTATTCCTTGACCTGGGCGAAGTTCCAGTTGGCGAGAGGGTTGATCTTGATGAGGCCGGCCTCGTCGACCTCGATGATGTCCAGGTCTCCACGCTTGCCACCTTGGCTACGTCGGCGACCAGTCAAGACAGCCTTGACCTGGAGTTCAGAGTAGGCACGCTCAGCAGGCTCCACCTTCGCAACGTAGTCGTAAAGTTCGTCATTGGTGTCCCACAGCTTGTCGCCATGCTTGGCAGTAAAGTCGTTGACGTTGTCGCAGCCAGCAGGCTTGTAGACGTGTACCGGTGTTCCGTATCGCCTCCTTACCCGGTCAACAAGGGCATAGGTTTCGTCGAAGTGGTAGAGAGTGTCTAGGAAGATCAAGTCGATGTTGTGCTTCAAAGGTCCATCGAGCTTCGAAAGCATGTCCACTGTGACCAGGCCAGTAAGACCAAAGGCTGTGGTCTGGAATAGTCCAGGCAGAGATGTGATGCACCATCGGAGGATGTCTACCTCAAGTTAGTTCAGGAAATTTTCAGGAGTAAAGTGCCATCACGTACCTTGCGGCTCAAGCTTCTGGAGCTGGGCGTTGATGAACTTCAAATGAGGCTTCGTGAAGTAGATCTCAGGTAGGCTCTCCTGACTGGATTCGGCTGAAGCATAGCCAGACTCCTCGCGGAGTGTAGGCTGCTTGTAGGCGTCAACCTTTGCGAACAATGGTGACGACATCCTTCAAGATGGTGTGGCGGAAGTTTGGGGTATGACAGGCACGTGCGGAGAAGCCAGAAGGAGTATGTCTTTGTGGGTTGGTGTCTAAATGGAGGCTTCCCAGGAGAAACTACTATTATCAATCGTTTGAGTCTGGAGGTGGGAAGAGGGAGAGCGACCACGGCCTGGAGTATATATTGGGCGCCGCCATCGGGATCGCTTTGTAACCATCTCCGCAAGGTGCGATAGCTGGGGGTGAAGACGTGCGATCACGCAATTCGCGCTAGTACATGGTGGAGCAAAACTCTTCCTCCCAGCCTTATGTAAGGCAGTCTCGCCAATCATTTGGCGGCAGTAGACGTTTTGCTACTTCTGAGGCTCGGACGACGTCTATGCTCATGCACTCCGCGGCTGTGCGTTGGTTGGAAATCGCCCGATGGTTTGAGGTTTTGTCATCAACGTCATCCCGTGGACGATTACCGAACAATGCGAATGGCTGAAGTCATGGTGATCCGGCTCTGGCTGACGGACTAGACGGACGGACGGACTGCCTAATCATGGGCTGAGGGATGCCATGTCGTCTCATCTTGACTTTCTCTTGATGTTTGCCTCTGCTGACAATATGGAGTTGGTGGAGTGCCCCGGCCCATCGGCAAGCGCCGGGCGATCGCGTCCGGGGCCTCGCCCAGAAGACTTGTAACACGCATCAGGATTCTCTGTAAAACCATCGGTTAGTGTGAGTCGTTGTGGAACGTCAGGCATATTTACCTATAGCTGTCCATGCTTGAGGCTGAACAATTTTTCTAGCCTCCTGCACGACTCGGTGCACCTTATACTCGTGGGGCGCGAGATCCGTCGTCCTGATTTCCGCATCTGCAACAAGCATGTTGCTTTTGGTGGGCAATCATGTCGCGCGATTCCCGCCTGGGCGCTTCGTGATAATCTTATGTCGTGTTGTCGGTGCTGTTGTTGTCGTGAATGGTGGCGGATGTCAGAAAGAGAAGGAGGCTAAAGAGACCTTGGCACGGGCTGCCGTATGAGATTACAACCACACGTCAACCTAGGAAAACACTAAACAGGTCTGCAGCCTACATCAACACAAAAACGTGCAAAGTAGGTGACCTAACGCCGATGTAGGCTCTAGACCTGTTCAGGTTTTTTCTTGTCCAAGGTGACCATGTACATTATCGTGTAATAACCACCTAGCATATGTCTCGACCTTGGCCTGTCATCTGCGTAGGATAAGTCCCATGCAGGTTACTTGCTCAAACCAGCAGGCGACACAAGGATGCGGGGTCTCCACACGGGACGACACCCGCCAGCCGAATCGTCCACTCCAGACGACCATTTCCTATGAAAGCGCGACCCACCCGCACCATGCAGTTTGCTCGCTGCCTACATCAATCTCCGATCATCGACTGCTGTCATGGCCGAAAAACGGAAGCATGGCGAATCTCCCGGATCTGACCAATCACGACTTCCATTCGATGAGGGCCGCCCTTCTACCAGTCCAGCGGGCAGCCTGACAGTCGTCGAGAACTACCCCAGAAAACGTATAGCGATAGCTGTGGGCAACACTACCCTTGACTTCCGACATTAATTACTCATAGCTTGTAGTGCAACGTTTGTAGATTTCGGAAGACACGCTGTGACGCCCAGAAGCCGGTTAGTCAGACAAAATTGTTTTCATATATGCCCTCGTTAACATTTACAGTCTTGTGGTTTCTGTACTGAGCTCGGAATTGAGTGCACCTACCGGAAGCCAACAGTTGGCGACCGCACAAAATCAGTCGGTCCCCCATCAGAGGCCTGGTCAAGCATTGAAAGACGACTGGCGCAGGTCGAAGCTAAGCTGGAATCTACGCATCAATATGCGCCTGGTTCTGCAGCACTCTCACCCAACACGTCTACTCATAGCGATATGCACCCTCCCCCAGAGTCCAGATCACGACACTCGAGCGCTAATCGAATGGCAATTGAATCGATCAACAACTCCACCATGTCTGTCCCATCAGTTGGTACACCGGTATCGTATGACTTTGCTTATCGACAGACAAGCACTGAAGGAAAAACTCCGAGACCTAGCCTCACTACTTTCCACGCACCTTCTTATATCCATGTGGAGAGCTGGGACTACACAGCTGACTTTTACGATGATGAGATCTTAGCCGGGGAACAACTGGCGGATCAGTGTGACGCAGTCATCTCACGTCCAGTGGATCTATCTCGACGAACGTGCCGACGACTCCAACAATCTTTCGTGGAAAACTTCCTTCGGTGGACACCTATTTTCGATCAACGAACCTGCGTCAGTGCGCTTGAACAGGCAGACTCAAGTAGCTTTGAGCACCCTAGTGCATCAACATGCCTAGCATTTCTGATACTGGCCCTTGGTGCAATCTCTGAAGATTGGAATGAGAATACGAATAATCTCACTCCAGGGTTGGAGTACTTTGCACGTGGATGTCGCCTCCTCGAGCACCTATCGCTTCGCATCGGACTAGCTAGCCTTCAGTGTCGGATACTGCAAGCTTCGTACTTCAAGTTCGCTATCAGACCACTGCAGACATGGAACTCCATCACGCAGGCTGCGAGAGACTGCATGCATATCTTGAGCTCCAGAACTATGCAACGCTACAGCCCATCGGACCAAGAAGCATTCAACCGAGCGTTTTGGGCTTGCTCCACCGTGCTGCACGAGTAAGCTATCCAAGCGCGGCTTGCATCGTTAGCCTCGATAGCGAAAGACTTTACTAATGTAAATATGTGCTTAGACTTGAGGCGACATGTAAAATGCATCCCATCGGACTACGCCACTTCCATGAATTGGTGCCACTTCCCCAGTTCGAAGAGGAGGATTCAGGCTTCTACTTCTTTCTGGCGCAGATCAGCCTTAGGAAGTTCCTGACACAGACTCTTGAAGTTGTCGGTTACTGTAAGTGTCTCTGCAGAGTCAATTTTGCTACGTGCACTTACCATGCGACCGCCCCTTCCAGTTACAGGACAGGTCATCTTCGCACCCGTCGTCGTTGGCGAGCTACGTAAACAAGTGCGCGAATGGTACCATCATCTACCTTCTGCCGTTCGGTTTCCCTTGGATTCGACGCCGCTGTTTGACTCAAGGAAGTCTTTCCTAAGGATTCAGTACATGGCTCTACATGTAGTTCTTGGCTGGCCTTCGGTACTTAGGATACTCGAGAACAGCGAAGGGGAGGCCAGTGCTCAGGAAAACGAAACGATTGGCGTCACAAGGGAGCATGCGCGACACTGCATAAAGAGTTCAGCCTTGCTTCTGAGTGTCGCGGACGAGCAACTCATGGGAAGAAAGATGGGAACGCACTTTACACTATACCCGTATGGTCACTGCGTTCAAACATGTTGATGTCTAACTAACTTTATCTAGGACATTTGCGTGCTTCGCAACCTTACTCATAGCGTACAACCATGCGGCTCTCGCTTTCATCGAAGAAACCAAGCAGGAGCAGCATATACGCAACGGATATGAATTACTGCGGCCATGGACGCATCTGCCTCTGGTTCGACGAGGGTTGGAAAGGGCACGCATTTTAATGCAGCAGAATGATCTTGCGCATATCTTCCACGCATATGCAGATGAATCACCTCAGCCTGCGTCTGGCGTTAGTCCACCAGTAGCAACGAGTAACGACTGGAGATCTCCACATCCAGGGTTCAGCATCAAGCCATGATAGCCGCGCGGACCCTGAGATGGCATCTGAAGTTCCGTAGGAAGACCGATCGCAATGCGGCATGGTTCGATTTAGGGAATCCCACGGGCTTAAACCACGCCACAAAGACATCATGCCAATCGGAAGATATTTGTGACAACCGGTATACACGACCGGCCCGAGGCCTCGTTACGAGCGTCCGATACGAACCTGGTCTTGAGTTCTTTCGCTGTTACGCCAGGGCGCCCTGCGGACAGATCCGTGCGAATGGGATCCTTCCCACACGGAATAACAATCACAATCCGTAGATGCATCTCGATGCAGGACCGTTGATCCACATTTGAAAATCGGTCGGTCATCAGCAGCGTATACCTGGCATTCTTGGACTGCGCACTCATTCCGCGTTTACGAATACACGACGGAGAGGGCTTTTGTGTGGCGATGCGCACACAACTACCACTGGCACCAGCATAATAATTTACACGCAGAGAACCCCACGACAGTCTACCAGAATGCAGAAGAAGTTGCGGCAATACCACCGAACACGGCCTGCATGCTATCTCAAGTCTATCGATCAACACAACTGCCCGCCTGCGGAGCAGAGACCACCATGATCACCACTGCTCAGACATCAGTCCCTAGGGTCTACGTAGTAAGACCGTGCTGAACAAATAGATGTTCGAGCTGCGAAACATCCTGGCTGAACCCCAAGTGTTCGCCTGCCGGCAAACACGAGCCTTGCATCATAGCTCACCTTAAGATCACCTGAATATGCAGTTGGGGATCCTGCAAAGTGACCTGAGCCCGGCAAGATCCACATCAGTCCAAGCCATAACATCGTGCAGCTTCGCGATCTCTGGGGTAGATGCATCCTATCGAGTGCGTTGCGCTTATCAGTCACCAACCGACCGCCCTGGTGGCCGCTGCGGCTGTGATTTGAGTAAGGGCTGTCCTGCCTTGCACGACTGTTACCAGCATCAGCTATGAGATGCGAGAAGCGCTACGTCCGCAGACCCGTCATTAATCTCGCCATCTTAATACGATCTGATTCTCTGAATCAGCTTTGCATGCAGTGTCTTGTTTCATTCATTCTAAAACCAAACATTCTCAGTATAACATCACGCTAGTCCCAAAAGAGCAAGGTTCATCGCTAGTGTACAAACGAGCGTTGTCTCATTATACCTAGATATCAATCGTTGACCTTCTGTGTTATCCTTTTGCGACACATTTTGTGGCCCGCCATGGGACACAACCGACAACCTGAACTCTACGCAGCGGCGCTTATAACTTATACTGCTGCTGCAGTCGCGCTTGTCTTTCGATTGGTTGCACGCCGTCAAACCAGCCACCCGTTGGTATGGGAAGATGTTTTGGCCGCAGTTGCGTTTGTATGTGTACTCGACTTTTTATTGACACAAGACTTACAGTTCGGCAGTCCACTGGAAGTGCTTTCACTTTCATCAGCATATACAGTACGTAACATTCTGCAGTCTTAACAACTAAGCGCTGACGGTGACCAGAGATGCGATGGGGACTTGGAAGGCCACTACACGCTATCGACATGGCAGAAGATGAGATTGTGTACCACTATTTCCTAGAACTATGGGTAGACATGTGGTTCTACACGTTTTCCGTCGGCCTCTCCAAGTTTGTCATACTAGGCTTCTACTGGAGAACGTTTTCACTTTCAAAGATCCGACAGCCTATCAGAATCCTTTTCGTTTGCTCGGCATGTTGGATCATTGTCAGGGTAAGTCGGCGAGCTATATCGACTTCTGCGTACGGTGCGCTGATCTCACAAGGTTGTCCTCATCACGATGCAATGTCAGCCGATTCAGAGGTTCTGGCACAAACACATCCCAGGCAAGTGCACATTGCCGCCGATGATGTCGCTCTTTGCCGCGGCCATACCTCATTTCATCCTTGAGGTCGCGATATTACTCTGTCCGCTCTATGAGATATCCAGACTGCATATCTCGACAGCACGCAAGGTTGCTGTAGCGGCGATGTTCGCAGCTGGCCTATTGTAAGTCGCACAAAACCAATACATCAACATCTTAATAATAGATTCGAAGGGTCTGCGGCTCAGCACTCGGTACCATTGCTCACACGGTTGCCCTTGGAAGAAACCCCCATCCAGATCTCACATACGACGGCATCGACGACCAGATATGGGCAGTATGCGATGTGAACCTGGCATCCTTTGCAAGTCAGTCATCTATGCTGAAGCTTTTCCTCGAACCAGGTCGCTGACATTCACCGTCTAGCGTCCCTCCCTCTCCTCCGACCCGCCCTGCGCTCCTGCGGCGGTATATTCACCACTCTCCGAACAAACAAAAGATCCATTGGACCCAGTAATTACGGCAATCCAAACTACGCCCCGACCTTTGGTAGTGCTCCTAAGAGGGGATGTAGCCGCACATTAACAACTACCTGTCCCGATACGGAGTCTACGATTGAGCTTTCTGCGGACTTTTGCACCGAGAGAGGTGAAAATAGTGGTAGAGTAGCGGCTTCGCACGAGCATGGGAATGAGTGTGGGAGCGAGTGTGGTATGCATCATGCCGCAAGTCTTGAGCTGGAAGATCGGCGTCTTGTGTAGGTGCGGAGTGAGATAGAAGCCGTACTTAGATTTTCTCCAAACCATGAGTATGGACTGAAAGCCGGTAATCTCTTATACACAATAATATCCACCAAGCTGACCGTACAATGTTGAAGTCACGCTTGGAGATGTTACTTTGAGCACCAATTTACAGCTCATGCAATCCAGAAGTCCCTTTTCTTGTAGGATGAAGACACTGGAGGATCTTCAGCCCCTGCCTTAGCCTTGAATGGTTGCAACCATAGACCGACTCGCTCCCAATTCGTCCCTACTCTGGATACGAGGAGGAAAGCAAAAACTGTCTCCACAGGTTCATTGTACCGATCTTTCATATCGACAGCGCGAAATAGAAATATAGCGTAGCAAGTTCTGATCTCAATCGCTCCAGCACCAACATGTGAGAACTCCAGGCTCTCGAATGGGCAGTCGAGGCGCGCCATCTCTGACCAGTAGTTATGGCCTCCACCTCGCAATACCGATGCATCGTGGCCATGTACCACGCGACCAAGGTGTCTTCCAACAACAGCTCTCTTGCGTAGCATAACCTTGAATGATGGCGCTGAAACAAATATCCGCTGAGAATAGTGGTGCCGCTGGGTAGAATTCGGACTGGCTTTCTCAAACTGTTGCAAAGACTGCAAAAGCCCATCCTTTTTCTCAAATAGGATCGCTAGGTCTTTTGGGACCACCAGGGTCGTGTTCGGCGTTCTTCGTATATGATACACAGCATTTGGATTGTGCAACCATCCTGCCCAAGAATAACTTGGGAAGCCTAACCGGCGATTGATCTTCTCATTCTGGATATCATGGCGCCAGCACAACCCAATGAGAAGCCCGTTCAGATACCCGGATGCATCGAAAGGCAAAGGTATACCCCAGTATGATCTGATAGGTGGCTCTTGTTGCTCGAACTCGCCCAAAATGCCATCGAATGCATTGAGGATGTCAACATCGTAGGTGAGGGCTCTCTCAGTATACGACTCAATCAAATCGTAGATGATCTCTCCGTCCACATTTGACTGCCACTTCTCTAACATGGAATGATAGCGTATCTGAGAATGCTGTAGGTCTTCGCTAATGACGCCTTCATCGCAATCGAATAGTACTTGTTTCTCGGTGAAGATGAGCCTCCGCCTTGAAAAGTAGCCTTCCTGAAGCGTCCAACCACGTCTGAACCATCCTTCGGTGTAATATACCAAGGCCCAAGGCCAGGGCGAAAATGTGACCAGATTGAGCTCGTTGTATTGACCTTTCGTTTGCACATTCTCCCGCGGTACCGAGACGCCTAACAGTCCTGAACTGGCGTCCGCATCACCGGCTGCTATTATCGTGATCTGAGCAGAGCGATAGATAAGGTGCATCTGGCGGATTTGATGCTTGAAATCATCTTCGTTCTTCTGATGAACGCAGTATGCATCGATCCAAAGATAACGAATGCCGAGACTCTGGGTTACTCGAATAGCATCCTCTACCGTTGAAGGGAGTCTTGTTGGAAGCATGTCTGTTTGCCAATCCTGAGACTCGCCCTTGCTTTTGCCCCACCGATAACTCAACGCGGCATAAGGGATGTCGCCAGAATGTCTGACGATTGCTCGTGTGTGACAATCAATCACCCTAAGCTGACTCGGCCGGCTACTGAATGTTTCCTTCTGTTGATTGCAGGTACTATGATGGGTTAAGCAATTCTGTAGGTATTGTCTCGTAGCGCTGGAATCAAGCCAGGTCGGAACTTCGTTTACTCGTAGCGGGGACGGTTGAAGCTCTAGAGTTTTCATCTCCGCGGACACACCGAAAGGAACTACCAAGCTAGGATGGCTGGCAATCTGAAGCTCGGGCTTTCTGTCTTCAAAGTCATAGAATATATTGACATGAGACGACAGCTTCGTCACGGGCCCAGACTTCGTAAATACCCTCATCAGGCTTTTCCCGCGGTCAAGTTGGAGATAGCGTGGTTGTAGCGAGTCGTTTCGCGGGAATAAATTGACCTTTGTCGCCAAAATGAACTCACAGAACTCGCAACCAGACTGCGACTTCCATATCCAGATAGTGGTAGGGTCAGAAGATCTTGTGATCCACACTTCATGTCCCTTCTTTAGCGGTATGCCTTCGTGATTGCCTTTCAAGATCGCAATGAGATCGATATCTGAACAATTGGCGCATAACATCTTGGCAGGAGCCGAACCATACGGGTTATGTCGTAGAGCATTTGGAAGAAGACGGGTACATGGCCTTGGCTCAGGAGCTGCTGCCTAGAGCTATCTAAAAACGAGGAATCAATTCGTTATCGATGCCATGGGTGCCCGGCATGCAGGAAGCGGGGTCGTATTTCGCGCGCTTGTCTCGTGTCACCACAACCACAACGTCCTTCAGCCCTTTGGCACAGCCAATACGATCCAAACCCTATCAAACCACCCTACACCTGATGTTAACTACGCCTTAGTCACTTAATACCCATCTTCGGCTTTGCATACGTGCACGTCCATATTCCAGCTGCTACAGCCCTCACAATCTCTTCTCCCAGTCCCATCATTCAATAGGGTGTGACGTTAATCACACACAGACGAGATCGTCGAAAGTACTCAGCACAGCCATCAATTTCAGTGTCACAGAAGACGTAACGTTACATATTGAAATGGATAGACTATCCGTTTCCACCTCACACCTCATAATGAGTGAAAAGCCCAGTTCCCAGATTTGGTATCATCGAAAAAAACACACAACCACGCTCAAACGCCAAACCCAGACAAGAAAAGAAGATGATTGCACGTCGATAAGCGTTAAGTGCTTAGTACGCATTACCGCCCCAACCCGGTGTCTTCCCCTTGCCCTCATGTGGCGAGTAGTATTCGTCCTGCTCCATAACCGGACTGATGGTTATAGAGCCTGGCTGGTGCTGCGGCGGCCCATACCAGCCGTTCCCTCCCGCAGGCACATTGCTGTAGTAGCCTCCTCCTCCGTGTGCAGCCTCCTCGCCGCCAAGGTTGTTGAACGCTTGTGTGCGCGGTGTCATGGGCGACTTCATGCCGCCAATGGTACCGGGTGTACGAGGTAGTTGTTGGAGTTCCCACATGTGCTGCCATTGTTCGTCGGCAGTCATCTCGTTGTCGTAGGGCGATGAGGCCCACTTCTCCTTCTCGGCTTTCTTTTCGGCTCTGCGGGCGGCGTGGGCTTGTTTCTGTGCGGTTGTTGGGATGAGGGAGTAGGCTGACAGGGCGAAGAAGACGACGTAGATGGTGCTGTTGGGATAGAGTTAGCGCTTTACTCGGATGTATACGGATGGTAGGGGACGTACAGCATGATAATGCTAACGGCGAAACTGCTCTTGGCTTGCATGCAGTAACTCTTTATGTGCTTGTCGTCCACGATGTTGCAGTTCTTGGTGAGGTACCAGGGTGCGCCGTTGTTTACGTGCTCTGGGTCAATGGTGTCGGGCGCCGTTTGGATGTGGATGCCGTATGCCCATAGGGCCATGAGTGCGATGTGGAGGAGGAGCGAGAGGATGGGGAAGAAGACCTTGAGGAGCCACAAGGTTGTTTTGACGAGCCAGAAGAACATGCATACTACGCCAATTACGAGGTGGTATTGGGTATTGCTATGATTGTCAGTACACTATTCAGGTTTTGAAGTCGAGTGGAATGATAGCAAGGATATGGACTGCAGTGTTGGTTCGACATGTTACTTACAAGCTACTCCATACTAAAGGTGTGTCTACTGGCCGGTAATTCGCAGCCGCGTACAAAACGGTGCTTGGCTTCGAGTTGAAGCCAAACTCGCCTCCCACTCTCCACAAAATGGTGCGATAGAGGTTTGGCGATGCGATACCGAAAAGGGCAAGGTTGGCCACAGTGAATGGCAGTTCAAAAATCATGAGAAAGTAGATGATTTTCGGCAGGCGCCATGTTCGCGATATAAAAAAACCCATGACGGGCGTTCGAAGCCGTCACGCTTGACGGTGATGTGTGGTGGTGGGCGTTGCCGTATACGTGATGCTGCGCTTTCAGCTACGCTCGGACGAATCGCGGTTGCGGAATAAGGCTGAACTGCGCCGTCCAGTCTTGTTGCGCAATTGTCGTTAACCGAAAGTCGATAGCTGGAGATGCTACCAAAAGCCTCCGATGGTCGCACACAGTCGTTGTTCGTGCTCGAGGTCCGGACGTACAAGAAAAGCATCAGCATCCAGCTCTCCGGGGCCTTTCACGCTCTTAACAGCCATGTAAGCCCCCATCTTAGCCGACGCCAGTGAGGGAGCTGAGGGGCGAAGAGCCATCGCAGGCGCTGAGTGGCACGCGCATGCTGCGCGATCACACAGCTTGTTAGGTGTGACGGCGAATCAGACTTGCAGGACGGCGCTGCATGCGGGAGCTAGACGGCTTGTTCCTTGCGCCATCCCTGCTCTTGTACCGAGGAATGTGGGTTAATATCGACGAATCGGGTAATTCAATATAGAACTCCAAGGTAAGAGGTCGGATGAAGTGGAAGGCCTTATCGCGGGGTTGCACGGCGCAAGCGATCGCTTGCTGTGCCGTACAGTGCCCTCGGGCAGGAAACGGCGTGTGGCGCGAATAACGTTGATGGCCGTGGTTCCCAGACTGAGTTTTGAAATGTGGAGCTAGTCTAGTGGAGCAGTCCCTCGACTATCACGAGCCGTCTGGAATTTACGGTCTTTGTGGGCGCGTAAATTCGAGTTAATGGTGTGAGCGTCGTACATACAACAGCGCTTGCCGCAGCGACGGGATCATTGTCGAATGCAAAACCTAGTATTGATCGCCTTGAACTATCCAATGGTAAATTACCTTAACCTTTCCATTACCACCACTTCTCGCACAGCACTCTCTCTGGAGCGACATTATCCTGCTCCTTGATAAACTTCACCATGTCGTCGGTCATGTCTGGGGGCCCGCAGACGTAGAAGACGGTGGATTGGGCTTCCTTCCTGTTGCCAACTGCGCTAGAGAGGGCAATATCGTCAATGCGATGCGTCCAGGCACACACTGGCACTTCGGTAGCCGAGTCAATTTGCGGCAGCGTCAGAGACATGAGTGGATGTATCAAGTCACCTTCATTTGTGCCCATCTCTGACCCGTCCCACGTGCCTGTAAAGAAAAGCTCAAGGCGGTCTTTGGTCACCTTGAATCTGGGTATGCGGAACAGGTCGAGCACGTCTTGCAGGAAGAGGACTTCGCTCGGGTCGGTTTCGCGCGAAGGGACTTTGGTAGAGTATAGGAAGCGTACTTCGAGGTTCGGGTAGTTCTGGTTTATGTAGGTCATCATTGACATCATAGGGCTGTGGGGTGTTAGCGGGCGAGGCGTGCGACTTGGTCACGGCAGAGCTGGACGCACTTAATTCCGACACCTCCAGCGATGAAGATGGCGCGCTTAATCTTCTTCATATCCAGACACGGGGGAGGCCACACGAAGCTTCCGCCTACACGCACAGTGACCTCCTTGCCTAGTATCTCCTCCGCCGGCTGCCACAGCCATGCTGCCGGCGGGTTATTAGGGCTCTTCTGGACAGCTAGCTCGAAGTAGGGAACAAAATCGGGATCCGACCGCGGCAGGGCTTCGGAGGGCGACGAGGTAATGGTGAAGCCACCGGCCTTGTCTACATCGGGCACAAAGACATCAAGCCATTGGCCGGGGAGGAACTGACTTATCCATCAGCGCATGTCGCGAGCGAGATGGAGATCGTCATACGTTGAAGCCGTCCTTTTCCTTGATTTCGAATTTAAAGCGCTTGATCCGGTCGTTGACGGGCGTGACTTTGGCGACGGTGGCCGTGTGCAGGTCGTTCTCTCGCGGTTCCGTCGCGGTGCGCTCTTGGTGGCTTAGGATCGCTTTTGCTGAGCGAGCTTGTGGCATGCTGCTCAGCATGCTTCTCTGCGAGGAGAGTCGTCGCTGAAATGAGTGATGGGACAAGAGTCGACGGGCAGGAAGGCTCATAGCAAGAAGAAAGTATCTTACCACGAGGAAAATGTAAGTGGGGACACCAGGTAGAGGGGTCCAATGCGTTATGCAGGATGATCCACTGGGCGGGAGCTTGGACGACAGCCGTTAAGGCTAGCTGACTTCACCCTCACCACGGCATCGGCATCATCTCGGGCCTCCAAATATAGCCAAGTGGCATTGGCCATGAGCCTCCGAGAATGGGCTGACTGCCATCGTGTCGCACGCTGAGCTGTCGCGTTTGACATGTGCGAGTGCGTCGTGTACTAAGCAAGCTATGACGCGTGCGGGAGCCGCGGCTGCCACCGGAGAGCTGAACACCATAAGACAGCAATTGCTCTGCACCCTCCTTTGACACGAACTCATCTGCACGTGCACTGCCCAACACACGACATATCGTCACTGACTCTACTGCTCAGCCGACAAACACCTCCAATATCTCCAACTCTTACCTGATCCAGGCACAATGTCCGTCGAGGAAGGCACCCATGCCTTGGCTGATGGCAAGCAGCTGTATACGAAGACATTCAAAGTATGGTGGAGCCATAGCAATAAGATCGACATTAACGCAATGAGCAGACGGACGGTCCGGCCAAAGCCCGACTTGTGTTCATCCACGGATTCTCAGACGTACGGGTCCCATGGACACAATACTGAATGCATGACTAACGTTGCCTCTAGCACGGTGAGACCATCTGGCTACATGAATAATACCCTTCTGACACAGGTCAAGTCAACACGTACGGCGACTTCTTCCCCCATCTAGCGTCTAGAGGCATTGAAGTTTATACGTTCGACCAGAGGTGCGCACGTGCACTGCTTCCAATATTCACTACTGACAAGGTACAGAGGATGGGGCCGATCTGTAGCAAAACACGCCGAGCGAGGAGACACGGGCCCGACTACCCAGGTGCTGGACGACATTACCTCCTTCATCAAGACATTGATCCCGAGCCCTGTCCCGCTCTTCATGATGGGGCATTCCATGGGTGGCGGTGAAACGCTCTGCTATGCCGCACAGGGTCCGGAGGAGGTGCTCAAGCACATTCGCGGCTTCCTCTTGGAGTCGCCCTTTATCGACTTTGACCCCAAGTCCAAGCCATCACCCATCACGGTCTTCTTCGGTAGGGTCGCTGGAAAGCTCATGGCAAAGCGTCAGTTGACCAACAAACTGGATCCAAAACTCATCTCGCGAGACCCGGAGGTCTGCAAGCGGTTCGATGAAGACGAGCTCTGCCACGATACCGGCACACTCGAGGGGCTCGCGGGATTGCTCGATCGAACCAATGCTTTGTCCAGTGGGAAGATCATCATACCTGACAATGTCGGAGAGGGTGGCGTGACGAGGATCTGGATTGCTCACGGCGAGCAGGATGGTATCACTAGCTACCACGCCTCGAAACGCCTGTTCGATGCCTTGCAAGTCAAGGACAAGGAGTTCAAATCGTACGCCGGACACTTTCATCGCTGTAAGTACATGTCTGACCCAGTCCACGGTATTGGCACTAACCTTGTCAGTACACGACGAGCCTAGTCCTGATAAAGATGTGTTCCGGGACGACGTTGTAAACTGGGTACTGGCTCGCGTGACGGACCCTGTGGGTGACGATAGTGCGAAGCCAAGGCTATGAATCTGTGTATAAGCTCTCTAGAATAGGAAACAAGCGCGCTGGCAACGTAATCACGATACGATTATCTTTAGGTGTGCATTGCTTGGCCCAACTCGTACGTACACGCGCGGCTCCCGAGGCGCAAGGCGGAGGATCTCCAGGCCCATGTCCCTGCAGCAAATTGACGACGGCACGGGAGTGATGCATGAAGGTTGCAATGACATAGTGTGCGGTTGTTAAATTTGGTAACGTTCGTGATCGGTCGCAACAGAAGTCATCACTATTGATTGGACTGTCCCCTTTTTTCACCTGTGGCAGGTAGAGCATGAGATTGCTTGCAGATTGAAAATATACACCGGCATTATGTTCTCCTGGTCCTGCTATTAGAAGTGCGGTAGTGTGCATCTTGCGTGAGTGGGACGGATGGTGGCGCCCCCACAATTGCCGTGTGTTGACGCAAAAGGCGCCATGAGAGGCCAGGCTCGAGGGCCGATAGCAACCGCGAAAGAGGCTCCAAATTGTCTTGGAAGTATTCGCAGCGAGTGGCATTGAGGCATCCCGCAGTACTGAGAGGCGCAACGGCTGCCACCACATCCCATGTTACTGCGCACCGCCTGCAGCAATGGACATGGCCTGCGTGTCCAGTTTAGCCAGCGTGCACGCGTCTCACTCCACGACTCCTCTACGCAACCCTCGGTGCGACGACACGTCCTATCACGTCACGCCTACAAACCTCCCACCTGCCGCCCCAAATTGCGCGTCCTGTGCACGCAGACGACGACCAAAGGTGCCCAGTACCTCGCCATCCCGTCGCATACAGCGCCTCTCCGCAACTGGTCGACGACCGTCCACCGCAAACCACTCTTTTCCCCTTCCACCATGACGGGCGCCACGCAGAAAAGAGGCCACGCCGGTCATCACCACCATAACCACGACAACACCTTCCTCTTGTCCAAGAACAAGAATGACGCCGGCGTGCGCATTACCAAGATTGGCCTCTACGTCAACCTGGGCATGGCTGTCAGCAAGGGCTTCGGAGGCTACGTCTTCAATAGTCAGGGTGAGATGGCTAGGCGCGTTGATACGAACGTCTACTAACGCCTGCCAGCACTCATTGCCGACGCCATCCACAGCCTCACCGACCTCGTGAGCGACATCATGACGCTGGCAACAGTCGGCTGGTCCCTCAAGCCCCCTACGGACCGCTTTCCCAGCGGGTATGGAAAGGTGGAGAGTCTGGGCTCGCTCGGTGTCAGTGGCATATTGCTCGCAGGCGGTTTCTTCATGGGCTGGACCGCGCTGCTGGCCCTCTGCAAGCAATTCTTCCCCGAAGCCGCTGAGGTAGCGGAGCAATGGGGGCTTATACCACACCACCACCACCACCACGGCATCGACGACCTGGGCCCCAACATCAATGCTATATGGCTTGCTGCTGGCTCAATTGTCATCAAGGAATGGCTCTACAGAGCGAGTAAGGACACCCATAATAACGTAGCAAGCGCCCGCTGACAATCACTCCAGCCCTCAAGATCGCCAAAGAGCGCAAATCGACGGTCCTCGCCTCCAACGCCTACCACCACCGCGTCGACTCCCTTACTGCCTTCGTCGCTCTCCTCCTCATCGCCGGCTCCAACGTCCTCAACAATGCAAAGTGGCTAGACCCTATCGGTGGGCTTGTCATCTCGCTCATGGTTGTCCAAGCTGGTTGGGGAAACACCAAGCAAGCGCTACTCGAACTGGCAGACGTCGGCGTGGACCAAGAGATGAAGGACAACGTGCGGAAAGCAGCGACTGACGCTGTCAAGGATGTCACTACCGCATCAGAGCCAGTCAATGTGCGAGCGATTCAGGGTGTCAAAGCTGGCCAGAACTACCTCATGGATATCGAGATTGGCGTTTCTGGCACTTGGACTGTTGACCAGACACGCGACGTCGAGAACGCAATCCGGGACCGCGTCGGTGTCAATGTGCGCGGCGTGAAAAAGGTGCGCGTGCGCTTTGTAACCAACTCGGCGCAAGCACCAGACTTTCTCGACGAGTTCATCCCTGGCGACTCTGCTGCGGCGGCGAGCCAAAAATCCGAGGCAGAACATCACCACGACCACGACCACGACCACGATCACGAAACTACCGATGGCACCGCAAGGCGAAGGAAATGATTGGTGTACACCTATAGACAAGCATAGCTGGGCGTTCTGGAGTTGGGCAATGCAACTACCCGGCGGCATATACGAGACATGGGACACTTGTATATATTCTGAATATCCATCACCTGAATTCAACCCCGGCCCACGCTCTAGACTCGTACTTCCCCACGCTAACGAAATTCCTTAGCTGGCATCGGCGTTTGGCCGAGATGCAACTCCAAAAAGTCACAGCTGTACTCACGATGTCTCGGCACGAATTTATCCGCCATCCAATAATCCCGCGCCAAAGTACTGGCGCTTCTGCAGGCACCGCCGGCAAAACTGCCTGTGATGTAGCGCGTCCGTCAATGTGGGTCTTGCGTAAGTGTGCCGTAGCCGTATCGTGGATGTGAGGCAGGGACCTCTAACACTACGAGATATGGTCTGCTTATTTTAGCCATGTCTCGTCAACATAACACCCTAACATTATCCTCACAGCTCGAAACCGCACTGACACACTTCGACCATGGCTGATCAGTTCTTGGGCTTCGATTTGAGCACTCAGCAACTCAAAGGTGCGAATACCCCGCTAGAGCTACCCCACCATCTGGTCTTCCAGCTTGGACTGACGCTGCCGTGTTCTAGGTATCATTGTCGGTTCCGATCTCAAACTTATCCACGAAGCCAAGGTCGATTTCGATGCCGATCTTTCCAAATATGGCATTGAGAAGGGTGTCCTCACAAACCCTGCTGAGGGGGAGGTTTTCGCGCCCGTCGCCCTGTGGCTCGAAGCCATTGATCTTGTCCTGCAGCGATTGAAGGAGCAGGGTGCCGACTTCTCCAAGATCCAGGGTATCTCAGGTGCTGGCATGCAACATGGTACCGTGTTCTGGAGCAACGATGCAGAGACACTACTTGGCAGTATGGATGCTGGCAAGACACTGCTCGAGCAGCTGGAAGGCGGTGCAAAGGGCGAGAGGAAGGGTGCCTTCAGCCACCCATTCAGCCCAAACTGGCAGGACGCAAGTACACAGAAGCAGTGCGAAGCTTTTGATATGACACTGCAAGAACCGAGGAACCTGGCCCTAGCTACTGGAAGCAGTGCTCATCACGTAAGTTGCCAACACCCTCCCAGTCTTTATCAATGCTAACACCATGACAGCGCTTCAGTGGCCCTCAGATCCTTCGCTTCCACGACAAGTACCCCGAAGCCTACAAAGCGACCGCTCGCATCTCCCTCGTATCCTCCTTCCTTGCCTCCGTCTTTCTCGGTAAAGTCGCCCCCATCGATATCGGAGACGTATGCGGAGCCAACCTGTGGGATATCAAGAATGGTCGCTGGCATGAGGATCTTCTTGCGCTTGCAGCTGGGGGCAGTGACGGTGTCGAGGACCTCAAGAAGAAGCTCGGAAGCGTCCCGGAAGATGGTGGCTCAAGCTTCGGTACCGTCTCACCATACTTCAGCAAGCGCTACGGGTTCCCATCGTCGGCTCAGGTCATCGCGTTCACCGGTGACAACCCATCGACCATCCTAGCCCTTCCTCTACGCGCGTCGGACGCCATCGTCTCGCTAGGGACCTCAACAACATTCCTCATGTCTACACCACAGTATAGGCCCGACCCAGCATACCACTTCATGAACCACCCGACTACAGCAGGCCTCTACATGTTCATGCTCTGCTACAAGAATGGTGGCCTAGCACGCGAGCACATCCGCGACGCCATCAACAAAGCCTCAGGCTCATCCGACAAGTCCTGGGACAAGTTCAACGAGACAGCCCTCACAACTCCTGCACTTGGCCAAGCCCAACCCTCCGATCCTATGCGTCTAGGTCTCTTCTTCCCCCGACCAGAAATTGTACCAAACGTCAAGGCAGGAACATGGCGATTCCTTTCCAAAGATAATCAGCTCTCGCCCATAGCACCAGAAGCTGCCCAAGGCAAGACGGAGGACAAATCTTGGCCCGTTCCTCAAGCCGACGCCCGTGCAATCCTCGAATCGCAGTTCCTGTCATTGAGATTGCGCTCTCAGTCCCTTGTCGAACCCCAGGGCTCCCTCCCTGCGCAACCCCGCAGAATTTACATGGTTGGCGGTGGTGCCGTGAACCCCGCCATCGCCGAACTTGCCGGTCAAGTTCTTGGTGGGTCTGACGGTGTATACAAGCTTGAGATTGGAGGAAATGCTTGCGCTCTTGGAGCCGCGTACAAAGCTGCCTGGGGCGTACAACGTTCGTCTCCACAGGAGAAGTTTGAGGATTTCCTTGAGGCGCGATGGAATGAGGAGGGCTTTGTCAAGAAGATCTGTGAGGGCTACAGGAAGGGTGTCTTTGAACAGTATGGCGATGCACTCAAGGCTTTCGATGAGGTAGAGAAGGTAGCACTTAGGGAGAAGGGTGAGGCCGAGAAAATAGATGCTACCAAAGAGGCTATGGGGCTGCAAGGCCTGGATGGCCAGAGGTAAGATGGTGGTAGTGTAGAAGATTCTGAATATCACTTGATTTTTTGGGCTCACATCCCTTAAAAACGAATTTCTTAGCTAACTAACTATCTCACCCTATACAAAAAAAAACCAAACACCCTAGAGCCTACATTAAAATACAAGCTTATAAAGTTAGTAGCCTAATAGCTACGTAGGCTTCTAATTGTCTAGTTTTTCCCTTGTATAAGGTAATCTAGTAACACTATTCAAGGTTATGTTTTTCGTTTAACGGACATGTAACGAATGTAACCTTTAACACTCTAGCTCTACATTATTAAACTTTTAAGGTTATTATCTAACAATACATCTAATATCTAATAATACAATATAGAGTTGCTACTTTCTGCGCAGCAGCTCTATAAGAGTTGTAATTTTTGCGAAGTAATAGCCTACACCTTTACTTTCTTTTTATAGCCCTCTTATAATTTATTATAGCCTGTTGCTGCTGCAAGAGAGGGTGTAAGACGCCTCTTTTTAGCTATGCACGCTCTACTTTATCCTTAGCAGATAGAGCGGGCTTACTTACTTCCGTAGCCGGCCTGTACCTATTCACCTGCGTGGCTTGGCCTATCACCTGGCATATTTGACACTTCTCCACTTGTCGCCAACACCACGGTCATTTGCGCATACCGCTTCACGCGTTGAAACATGTCCGAAGGTACCGAGAACCATATTGTATGCGTTGGCGCCGTCTACATCGACACCATATTGACGTATGTATCAACGCTCTGCAACAACCCCAAGAATCAGAAGCTTGCTAACTCTCGAGTGTTCAGAGTCCCGCATTTCCCCATAGAAGATGAGAAATTACGCGCCAAAGCTCTCACGCGAAGAAGAGGAGGAAACACGGCAAACAGTCTAGAAGTGTTATCGCAGCTGCAACGACACGACCCTGAAGGAGCACATCCCAGTCCCATGAGTCTGCATCTGCTAGCTGTGCTCCCTGAGGAGCAATCTGCGGCTTCTCAATTCATATCTACGTCGCTTCCCGGGGTAAACATATCCGACGTGAGCCTCTTCCGCAACCAGCACCAAGAAGCCGCGTCAAGCTACATCATCCAAAGCGAAGAGAAGCGTTCACGCACAATCGTCAGCATCAACCAGCTCCCCGAGATGTGAGGCGATGGGACGGAGGTGGTCGCGACTGCCTCGACTGGTGTGCGCCTTCCACAACGTCTGTTTGGCAACGACGAAGTCGTCACTGCCGCTCTCAGGTATGTCACACATCTCAACCCCGCTTCGTTCTGCCTTCTCATATCCTCTCACCCTTCTCGCACTCATCATGGCGGTCTCAGAATACGAGACGGTTGCTAACATTGCTTGGGATGTTATGAGTGTTGACCTATCCGCCACCCGGCTGCTTCGCTCGATGTATCACAACTCTTCGGTCATCCTGGAAGCTCTCGACTACTTCTCTGTGCAATTCGCACCTTCTCTCCATGCGATTCTTCAGTCACGTACTCCACCTACACCTCAGCAGCTGCAGCTATGCACACTTCCTTCGGATGCAGCTTCCTCTTCTACCTGGGTCATTTACCTGCAATTCCTAGAAAAGGACGGAGAAATCATTGTCTGTGTATATTGCGGATCTGCGACTAGTTCAGAGGGTGGAAATGTAAGGCTTCAAAGATACGACTCGTTCTTTGACCGTGGCGCTACTCCATCAAACATATCTCAGAATATTCGGGATCTTGTCGCAGACGGTTACACAAGATCTGGAACATCATGTCTGGCATCCACTACAATTCCTGGTAACGCTCTAGACTACCAATTCCTCCGGGCACTCATCCTACTCCTTGAGGGTACCTTTCAAGCTAAGCTGTGGTCGATCAAGCCTAGCACGTATGGTAGCCTGACGAGTCAGTCACTTTGGCCTCAGAACAAGATACCTTACGCAGGCCTTAACTTTGGATCACCACTTTCTGAGGTCCATCCCCCTCGAGTTCTCGACATTATGGGGATCGCAAATCCAACCGCCGATACCAGGAAGGACGATCAAGATCGAAAGCGGGAACAGCGGAAGTTCAACAAGTCAACAAAAGAGAGGATAGACAAACAAGAAATACAGGCAAGAGACAGAGAAGCTCGGAAGCTGAACATAGCACGAACAGAAAAACAAGAGGCACAGAGGATAGCCAACAAGACGTACAGGGAGAGTGTCAAAGGAAGAGAGAAACGGCTGATAGCCGGCAAGCTGTACAGGGAAAGTGACAAAGGAAAGCAAGTTGCTGCGGCGCTTAAAGTGCGTAAAGCGAAAGCAAAGGAGGAAGCTGCTAGCTCGGTTGGGAAGTAACTCACGGTTTCAACATGATGAGGGTTCATCGGGCAATGCGGAGGGCAGGGACATAAGTATGCGGACTAGGCTCACTAGATACATAGGTATGCAAAAGGTAAACCCACGCATAGCAACGGACGCTTCAAAGCACGTACTTGCAAGCTTCCGCGCTTTTGGTGTGGAGTGTTCCCGGAAAGCGACTTGCAGCAAGTAGTTCGGATCGCTCGTGACAGACCATGACGCTTCCAAATCATGCACTGGGAAGATGCGTTCGAGACCTGATCTTCAATTCAGTTTCATCCATTGGTCAGGTGCGGCGGACTAGATCGACGACGCAGACGGGAGAGGGTCTTCCGGAGCGGCTTCCGGCCATCCATCGCACGCCTACACATCGAAGAACTGGAATCATTGACGCGCTACCCCGCATGCTTTCGCACTTTCCCGTCCGCAATGCAGCATGAAGAAGAGCAGATGTCGGCGAGGCGGAAGCTAGATGCAGTCGCGGGGTGACCACCGGGACTGTGTTGGTGACTTAAGAAGGCCGCCGTCCATGTAGCAGCACACGGCGGAATAAAGAGATTATACACTACCAACGAATCATCAGCATGAGTGGAACAAAGATCGAAACATGCCCCATGGGGTACCACCGAATTCAAAACATCCACAACGGCAAAGTACCGAGTGGCACCATCAAAGCTGGTGGGCAGGACAAGAAGGCTACTGGCGAACACATCAAATGGGATGCGCCAGGTGTTGAGAACATTCCGGACAATGAGCAAGAGAAGATTAAAGAGGTTTCTGCCCAGTTTAATCGTTTCCAAATGATGAACTTCAATGAGCACATGCATTGTTTGAGGGGCACGCATTTGAAGACTCAGGGTGTAAGTATTTCGTAAGGCTTCTTGGGATAAACTTTACTGATAACATGGGCAGTGTGTAATGGGCAAGTTTACGGTGCACGACAACCTACCTAAACATCTAGCCCAAGGAATGTTCGCAAAACCCGGCACCTACGACGTGATCATGCGATACTCGTCCTTGACGCCTAAGATCTTGCCTGACAACCTGGCAGCCCCACGTGGCATTGGCATGAAGGTCTTTGGTATCGAAGGAGAGAAGCTCTGGGGAGAAGATAAGAAGACGCAAGACTGGACCTTCAACAACTACCCGGTATTGGAGCTGCGTGATCCTCAAACCACATACGATATTGCAGATGCACTGGAGCGAAACTGGAACGACTTGCCTACCTTTGCAGACGAGCAGAGCAAACGCGTTGATGCCGACGTGGCAACCCTCGGTGGACAACTGCCGAAACAACACATGGTTGCTATGCCCGAGTACTCACAATCAGCCTACCGCCACGGAGCTTACGTAGCCAAATACGGCGTCTTCCCCAATAGCAAGTTTCAAAAGGACCTTGAGAACACCGAAGTCAAAGACTCAGACCCAATCAACATCCTCTCGCAGACCCTCCGCACACACCACCTGAACAACACAATAACCTACAGCTTCTGCGCGCAACTCTTGCAGGACCTCACTGAGCAGCCCGTTGACGACATTGGTATCGAATGGGACCCCAAGAAATATCCGTTTGAACAGATTGCTACCATTGAGTTCCCGCCGCAGGATTCGTGGCTACCTGAGTTTAGGACATGGTGGGATGATCGCATCACGGTAAACAGCTGGCATGGGTTGAAGGAGCATCAACCGCTTGGAAGCACCAACCGAATGCGCAGGGTAGTTTACGCCGAGAGTAGAAAGTTGAGGCTGAAGGTTAATGGGTACAAGGAAGAAGACTATGTGGAGCCCGCGGGGCTTAGTGATATTCCTGGAAAGGGTGTAGAAGCACCGCAGCTGGACTTGAAGTATCAGAGTGCTATTACTACTGCCGAGGTCGCATGATTGATAAATGCGCGTTAGCTAGACGTACGTGCTGGAACGGAAGTGCTTTTCTAAGATGTACGTGTGTAAGGTTCCGGGCGTATGCACGTTCGCTTGGTGACGTCTGTGTTGTGCGTGAACAAGTCTGAAATATCATCGAAGCTGCTAGACTAATGTATCTAGTAATAAGTGCAGTTGAAATACATGCAGCTTACAGGTAGGGAGTGACAAGGCAGGTGCGACTTCCGCAAGTGGCGGCTCCCCGCACATGCGCATGCTAAGTACCTGCAGCTAACTCACTGGGCCAACAGCAACAACAACAACAACGATTAGTTCACTCTACAAGAATACATGAACCATGTTTTGCTTCGTGCTTGCGAGACTGTGAGTGAGCTACAGCTGTCAAACATGCGAATCCCTTCCTTATCTTTACTGACATGTGGAGCAGTCTACATCTCAACTCTAACCACAGCTGCAAGCATCGTCACCATCTTCCCTCATATCAGAATGTCGTCTAGCGAAAGAAATGTAAGTACTTCAAAGTCAAACAAGATCTATCTGGTACTACACGTATTGTCACTAGACAAGACATATTAACGCGACGAAGGCGTATCCTTACGGCAAGCCGCACTCAACGCCCTCGGATGGTACACAACATTACGAAAACAAACTTTGGATGCAGATACAATACGAAGCATATGTAGACGGGATCGACCTGACGGTATTGCCCTTTGCCAAAGAAGCTATTGCGAGTATCGCTTCGCTAGCGAGTAGCATGGTGAATGTGAAGGAATTTGACTTCTCGACTTCAAAGAGGGTCGATACGCATACACAGTAAGCTCGATTGCTTCACAACACATTACCAAAGACACTTGCATTTATAGTAATACTGACTAATCTCAATAGCCCCATCCCGGACTGGTTTCGAGCCCTCGAATTGAACGCTGCAGGCCGCGCAACGCCGTCTTGGAACGTATCATCCCACCTCAAATTCATGAGTGAACACCACATCGCTCACTCTGTACTCTGCGTCTCCACACCCCAGGCTAACGCCTTCTTGACTGAAAGAGACGAAGTGCTGAGAAAGAAGAAGACAGTTGTCCTTGCGCGTTTACTCAACTCCTTCACAGCGGAACTTCGCAGGATCTATCCGGAGAGATTTAGTTGGTTGGCCATTATGCCGCTACCCCATGTGGAAGAATCGATTACGGAGTTGAAGCGCGTGTTTGGAATGGTGGGGAAACAGCCTGTGGGTGTCGGTGTGCTAACAAACCACGAGGGCATGTACCCGGGAGACGAGACTTTTGATCCATTATGGGAGTTCCTACAGGAGAGATCCGCAAAGATGGGAAGCGATGGGAGGGAGGTGGTCTTTGTGCATCCAACGGAGCCCATCATCAAGCTCGACGATGGCCGATTGATCAACTCTCGACCATGTGAGTTCTGTTATCCCAAACTCGGGCTCACAAATGACCAAGGGTTAGAGTGAGCTGACAACATGCCACAGCACCCCTTCGCTCCGGTCTCGGAGAATTCTACTTTGAAACCGCGCGCGCCATCTCGAGTCTAACAGCCTCATCCACATTCCTCAAGTTCCCGTCCCTCCACTTCCGCATATCCCACGGCGCAGGCGCTTTCCCCGATATCTCCGAGCGTTTCCTTCTCGGCTTCCCCAACATCTCGACTGCAGCAAGGGAAGCCTACAAAACGCGCTTTTGGTACGACAGTGCAGGACCAGTTTGGCCAAATCAGGCCAAAGGGCTGACGGAAGGAATGGGTATTCCAGTTAGTCAGATGGTGTTTGGCACGGATTATCCGTATGGCATCGGGTTTTGGGATGTGGATGCTAATATTGATGGGTTGGCATGGGCGGGAGAATTAAGGTTTGAGGAGAAGGAGAAGGTGTTTTGGGGGAATGCGAAGGAGTTGTGGAGAGGGAAGATTGCCGTGTTGGATGCTATGGAAGAGTAGAGTGATTACAGACTTCCCCTCTCCATAATCTGCCTCGATAACCAAATAGTGACTGTTCTGTGCTCCAATGAACGTATCAAATGTGGAGTTTGGTCGAGACTGCCTCGACTGGTGTGCGCCTTCCACAACGTCTACTTCTCTGTGCAATTCGCACCTTCTCTCCATGGGATTCTTCGGTCATGTACTCCACCTACACCTCAGCAGCTGCAGTTATGCACCCTTCCCGAGATTGCGCGACAGTGTTGAAGCTCACCAGTACATCGTTGCTACCAATCGCATGGTTTCGGCGTACGTTCTCAATCTTCGCGCATCCATGGGAGTAGACCCTTGAATTCGGACATGGTGCTTGCACAGAAATCAAGAACGATTCCACGCCAACCAAGAAAAAAACTGAACAGGCCTGCAGCCTACATCAACTTAAAACCCTACAAGATAGATGACTTGGTGTTGATGTAGGCTGCAGGCCTGTCCATTTTTTTTCTTGTATGAGATGCATGTGCTAGGTGGTTATTACACGATAATGTACATGGTTGAAATCTCATACGGCAGCCCGTGCCATGGTCTCTTTAGCCTCCTTTTCTTTCTTGCGCGCTTCACGTTCCGCCTTGCGCATAGCTCGCAGATCCGGCGGCTTCTCAATGCTGAATCTAGCTCTTAGCGCGTCGATATCCGTCTCCAGCTCTTCCTCCCAGTAGATGTTGATTACATCGTCACTTTGTGCGCCGTTGCGTGTAGCCCACGGCCCATAGACGTCCCAGAAACGCCTCCATTCAGCCTTCTTCAGGGTGAAAGCGCTAAACACAGCCAAGCCAGTCATGGGCAGGCCGGTATTGGCGAATTCGAATGCCTTGAGAGCGACCTCGCCTTCACGAAAGACGGGTAGTCCGACCAAGGCATGGTAGAAGTCGTGGCATTCGCGATATCGCTGCATGACATATGCACACTCCTCGTCGTCTATGTACTGTACTGGCGCTCGTGTGTCTGGCGAGACGCCCTCGCGGTCAAGCCATGCCGCGTATGCATAGCCCAATGTGTTCGGGGGGAGTTTGCGGAGGCGTGGAATATCGAGTGAGGTAGACGTTAAGCGTGGTCGGTCGCGTAGTATTCGTCGGCCCGTTGGATTGAGAAGCATGCGATCACGGAGCTTGTAGATGAAGTAGGGTTGCGCGGTGGCTTCGCCAAAGGATGCAATGAGGTCTAGCTTGTGTAAGCAGCGAACCATGAAATTGAGACTCTGGATCGTGTCTACCTCCTCTTCGCGGGTCCAGGAAACTTCCAAGACCCGAGCCGATTGCCAGCCCTAACCTTTCCGTACGCGTCAATGGTATGTGACCCTCATAATTCGGCGGAGGGCGATTGAGGACGGAAAAACAGCGTGTTGATTGCGCGAATGATGACGCTTGGAAGATTGAGCCCGACGTCAGCCTTTGAAGCTGACATGATCGCACACTTCTCGCCATTTACGCGTTTTGGGGAGGGTTGCGGACAGCGTGGGTTTGATGGTTCTCATCTGGTTCGAGCCGATATCATGACGCGATTCTTATCGATACGCCACATGCACCAGCCACACCAAAGTATTAGCAGATGACTCTTTGTCCAACTTCCGGACTTGTCAGCTGCAACATCTTCGATTGCTTTTTCAATAAACGAGATTTTACTTTGTAGTGGATAGGCTTCCCTTCAAGGTAGCGCGCCAAATTCTTCAGATCCTGACCCTACAAGGAACAACTTCAAATCAAGATACTGTGTATCCGCTTCTGGAAGGAACCTTCGGTACGATAATTGACTGTCTCAACCAATGAGATAGCTACAGTTCTAACAGATGTGAGAGTTAGGATCAAAGGAGTACTTCAGGCCTTTGGGCTATCAGCATCATCCACCGCAGCCATGACTGCAGCACTAGACCCCGGCGAACAACATACCCAATTCGTCGATTGGGCCAAATCCAACGGCGTTGAAATCGATGGAATAGCCCCAGCACGCTTCAGCGGTCGAGGAATGGGCATCGTAGCCGCAAAAGATATCAAAGTCAGTCCAACCCACCAAAGCTACCCCCAACTCAAACCCCTCAACTAAATCATCAAGAAAGGGGACAAGTTAGTCCACGTCTCCAACAAATCTCTCGTCCATGTGGCCCTCCCTTCAATCCAAGCCTTCAAACTCCCCGAAAATGCCACCGTCCATGGAAAACTAGCCGCCTCCCTCTCCCTATGGTACAGCGGCCAGGAACCACACGGCTACCAACTCTGGCAAGACGTCTGGCCCACACAACAAGACTTCGCATCAACCATGCCATTTCACTACCCCGTATCACTCCAGTCCCTCCTACCACCAGCCTGCAAAACGCTCCTCGCGAAACAGCGCTCCAACCTAGAAAAAGACTGGTCAACACTCTCACCGCACCTTCCTCCCGCCATCACAAAGTCCCTCTACACATACACCTGGCTGATAGTAAACACCCGAACCTTCTACTGGGAATACCCAGATCTGCCCAACGCCCACCCCAGCCTACCCAAACGACGTGCAAAACTAACAGCAGACGACTGCTACTGCATGTGCCCGCTAATCGACTACTTCAACCACTCCGACAACGGATGCCATCCCGAACACAACAGCCAGGGTTACTCTGTGACGGCCGACCGCTCGTATTCTGCAGGCGAAGAAGTCTTTGTCACGTATGGGTCTCACACAAGCGACTTTCTGCTCGTGGAGTACGGTTTCATCCTTGAGGAAAACGTTCATGATACTCTGCCTTTGGATCACTTGTTGCTGCCTTTGCTGGATAAGCAGCAGGTGGATGCGCTGAAGGAGGATGGCTTTCATGGGGACTACACGTTATTCGGTGCGGGTAAAGAGGAGATTGTGTGCTATAGGACGCAAGCTGTGCTTCGGTTGTTGGTGCTGGATTCGAGGAGATATTCAGCGTTTGTTTCAGGAGATGATGATGGAGTTAGGGATCAGGCCAGGTTGAATAAGTACCTAGCGGATGTGTTGACTAAGTATTCGAGGGAGATAGTGGATACTTTGGAAGAGGTAGAGCAGCTGGACTTGGGCGAAGGGGGAGATGAGGTTGCGGAAGGCCAGAGGGAGACGGTGGTGAGACGGTGGAAACAGATACGGGGTATTGTTAACAAGGCCATCGACGCACTTACTTCATAGGAACGTGCGAGAAAGATTCGGTATTTCAGAGCGCTTGTGGTTCAATTCCTCAATCTGCAACATTTATGTCATATATCATTGAGCTGTGGATACCAAGAGTCCTACTAAGAAGCCTGTTGACCTTTTACGCTTTCAAGACACGCTACTAAACAAACATCCATCTTATCACCTATGCCACGCTACCCACCACCAATGCTGCAACACCCTCTTCCTCGCTTCTTACATCAATCTTCATGGTCACACCAGTCTTGGCACTGAAGGCCATCCGTACCGTAGCAGCAACCTTGCCACCTGTGATAGTCTTGCCGTAGAGTTTGAGAGTATGGGTTGATGTTGACAAAGCGACATCTGTACCTTCGAGAGGCTGGAGGGATAGAGTCTTGGTGAGTTGCTCGGTTGCATCTGTAACGAGTCAGTCATTCGTTCGTCATTAGTGATAGCTCGTAACCTTGTCGACGTACCGGTTATGCTCTTCATGTTACCCAGCTGCAGTGTTTCAGTCGCCGAATCGCCATTCGACTGTTCCCAGACATTATCAAAACTGCCTGCATATGCCGGAACAACGTAGTCAGCACCAGTGAGGTACAGATCCTCAACCTGGTACTCATCTGGATACCCATCACCTTCCTCTGGCTCGTTTGTGCTAGGATCGATTTCCTTGCTTGTGAACTTGAGTACGTTGGTGAAGCTGGCGGCGATGAACTGCGATTCGGTCTCCAAGCGCTTGAAGGATACATAGACTGTACCAGGCTCGTTGGTGACGAGCTTTGGCGCTGGGATGACAAACTCTTCTTCTAATTGCACGTCACCATCGTCTTCCGGTGTAACAACCATCTCAACATCCATCAATACTGTGTCCTCAAGAGTGTTCTTGATGTCGTACTGAATGACAATGTGGTCCTTGAAGATGTGCTTGATGGCAGTGACGACGTATTCGGTCTCGGATTCTGTGAGCTCGACGACATCGCTTGACTTGAGCACGCCGCCGTGCGCAGCCAGTTCTGGAATCTTTTGCAGTTCCGTAGCATATTTCTGCGCGTTCGATGCTGCGTTTGCGGCGGCATCGGCACCAGCTTTCGAGGGTGCCTTGGTTGCACTGGGTGCTTTGAGGGTTGGGGTAGCGCCTTCAGTTTTCTTGGTAAGGTCTGCTGCATCTGCTTGCTCGCGCGAGACTGTGGGGATTTTGGTGATGTCGAAGGCTGTCTCGAAGGTGTCGCGGGAATCCGAACTGACGTACATAGCCAGCTGGTGCTCAAGAACAGGAAGAGAGAACATGGAGTCGTTACGAATGAAGTTAACAGCCATGTCGTCGTCCTCCTGGTCCATCAAACGAAGACTGAGCGCAGCGCGATCACGGACCTCGTCATCAACATCATCCAGACACCTTGTGAGGAGGACGTGGACAGACTTCTTGATTTCGGGGTCCTTTTGTCCGACGCCGAACTTGGACAGAGCAGAGGTCGCCGCAGCCCTAACGATCGCATTCTCTAGGACTACGCGGTTGTAGATGTAACGGATGTATTTGGTAGGGTGTGGTGTTGAGGGACCTTCACGTCCAAGTACGAACAGAATCCTGACGGCAAGCTTTGTGAATTCGCAATCTTCGATGAACTCGCAAAGTGTGGCAAGCGCATCTTCCTTGGCCTCAGGTACAAAGCGAATGAGGTCCATGATAGCCTCGACAACGGATCGCTTGAACTCGTAGCCGCCTTCGTCGCGCAGAATGCCGCTGAGGAAAGCAAGGAAGCCAGACTGCTTCGCCTTGAACTTCAGTGCCAATGTTCGGACAGCTTCTACAATGGTGACCTTGAACTCGTCGGTGATCTCAGCCATGAAGCCAGTAATCTGCTTCATCAACCTGTCAACCGAAGATTCGTTGCCCGTTTTGAGGAGTGTGGTGATGGCGAAGGTAGCGATGCTGCGGTTCGAGTTGGTGATGAGCGATTCGATATCCTGGTTGCATGAGCGAACAGCGTCTGGCTTGAAGGATGCCATTTGCGACAGGATGCGGAGGGCGGCGAACTTGGTGACGGCGCGAGGAGAGGTGAGGAAGAGCTGCAGGACGTGGACGGCTTGTACGAGCTCGGCATCGGTAACGTCGCGCATGTCGCAGATGGCCTTTGCAGCCTCGAAGTTGACCATCTCCGACTTGTGGCGCAACCAGCCGTCGAGGAGTTGCATCATAGGCTGTAAAGGTTATTAGTAGATATATTTCGGTGGGGATGATGTAGCTCACCTTCCGCAAGTTTGGGTCCTCCTCAGCGAGCTTAGCTGCTAATCTGACCAGCAAGACAGTAGCGGCAGGGCTCTTGACGACACCAGCAGCAGAGTACTGCTGCACCATCTTGACCAAGCTCATCCTGTCGCCGGCGCGCATCTGGTACAAGAGACCAATGGCATGGTACTGTGTCATGTAGTTTGTGCTGGCCTGGAGAGTGGTATGTGAGCCCCCTCCAAACCCTCCCAAGAAACCACCACCCGACTTGCTTCCTGACGCGGCCTCGGCGGCCTCTGACTGCCATCTTCGGACGACATCCTTGGCGACTGGGAGGAGGTGGTACGAGGAGACGAGGGCGGCGGAGGAGACTGAGGGGTTCTTGTCGACTATGCACGTCTTGACGAGACGCTCGATGGCCTGGACGGTGGAGGCGTCGATGACACGGCAGAGGGCGCGGATGGCGTTGGGGCGGTATACGACGTCGCTGCCGACGGAGGTGTCCTTCATGATCGAGGAAGTGACCATGATGACATCGTCGGCGGAGCCAGCGAGCTCCTTGATGACCAGGTAGACCATCTGGCGGAGCGAGGCATCCTTGTTCTGGAACAGCTTGGAGATGCCAAAGAAGAGGGTCGTGGCTTCCTGGCGTCCCCAGCTCTCGCCGGTGAAGAGCAGCAGCGCCAGCTTGGTCAGGATCACTCTACATTTCCTGGGCGAGATGGGGCTCTGGTTGAATACTCGTGCTGGACAGCGTCAGCGTCCCCCGCCAACCTCTGGCGCATGCGGGAGGTGCCCTACCTTCTTGGAAGACGGACGTCTTGTCGATCTGGGCGACTCCGCCGGCGTCCTCGTGCTTCTTGTCCATGGTGTTGTGGTGCAGCTCCGCGTGCTAGCTCGCGGTGTGTGTATAAACTGGTCCCGCTCTTCCTCCGCCTAACGTGGCCTCTTGCGACGGGGGGTGCAAACGTGTCCAAGTGCGGCCTTGCAATTGGAATTGGTGGGCGAGGAGACGTGGGCGGGGCGGGGCGAAGTCGCAGTGGTGTTTGCCTGGCCGTCTGGAATTGGCGACGTTGAAGATGCCCT